GCATGCATCGAAACCAAAGCTGTTCTCTCCATTCGAGCTTAATGGCAACTGATTCGGAAATAAGACAAGGACGGGCGGCCAAACTGGTGATCGTTGAAAATGTTGTTGGAAATGGAGCGGTAATCCGAAAAGAATAGGAGCCGATTTCAAATTTAGAATTTTACTTTAGTTTAATTGTTGTATTTTATCCATCAAACCTTCAGTCTTGGTGTGCGAATTATTGCTCACTACACAGCTATAACACTGCCGATGAGTAATTTTATTGCCTGTTCAGGCAATACAACACAAGCCGTATGAAAAGTGCGACAACAAAGCGACGAATAACACTACACTTTGCACAACACTATGCTTGCAACAATGGTGTTTATTTATAGTGTAGTGAAGTGATTCATTCCCATGTTAACCCGTGAGGCGGCATAGTTAAAACACTTCCATTTTTGTTAAAAAGAACACGTCCGTAGTTTTAATTAAATTAATTATACAAGTTACTCCTAGAGTAAAAGGGTATACTAGATTCGTTGAAAAGTAAGTAACAGGCAGAAGGAAACGTTATATAAATTATATATATTCTTGATCAGGATCAATAGCTCAGTCGAGCTGGTCATGTCCGTCTCCGTATGAACGCCTCGATCTCAGGAAGGATACAGCTTCCAGACATAGACGTAGTGCGAGTTTGCTTCCAAATGTTGCCACGCCCACTCTAACGTCCAAAAACCGCACAAAACTGTCACGGAAACACTTAAAAAATGTTGTGATATTTTTTCATTTTTTATATATTTTGTAAATTTTCTTGCCAAAAAATGTTTGCCACGCCCACTCCTACGCCCATAAACCGCCCAAAACTGTCACGCCCACACTTTTGATATTTTCACATTTTTATATATCTTGTAAATTTCTACAGATTTGCCGAAAAACTTTTTGCTACTCAAACGCCCACAAACCGCCCAAAACTGTCACTCCCACACTTTTGAAAAATGTTGATATTTTTCACTATTTTATATACATATCTTGTAAATTTCTATAGATTTGCCAAAAAACTTTATGCCACGCCCACTCTAACGCACACAAACCGCACAAAACTCTCACGCCCACACGTTTAAAAAATGTTTAAGTTTTTTTTATTTAATTATTTTCACGGAAATTGCTGACCAAACATATTGCTGATCAAACATTCCTCACTACAGAATCGCATCCGCTCCAATTTCACTTTCAGTCACATCACCATTATTAGAACAAAGAAAATGTAGCAACCAAAACTGAAAAGATCAAATAATAAAGAAAGATTTTATTCTGGAATTAAAAGCCAAAGCATACAGTATAATGTATAATCTCCTCGAACCGACACTTAACTCGCGCATACTACCATGGGGAGTTTATCCTGCTTATTAAATATATAGGAATTACTCCCGTTTACTGGGTTTATCATTTCCCGGAATCCGTTTGGATTTTCTGCGAGTATGTTAAGAAATCCGTATTAATGTATGACTATGGATTATTAATTATGGACTACTCCCATTTATTATGTTTATTATTACTCGGAATCCGTTTGGATTCTCTAATTAAAGCGAACTTGAATATTCTCTAAGAGAGGTGGGCAGCGCTAAACAGCATTGATGACAGCCCTATGGACGAAATGCTGACCTTGTTTATTTGCATCCGCTGGATATCCCGCTGTGCAGTTCGGACGCCTTAGTCGAGAATACTCCCGTTGTATCGCTGTTTTAGCGCCTCGTGCACGTCGCATTCTCCTACTGCTAAGCGGCTGCGGTTACATTCCTTCGGATTGCTGATTTGGGAAATTGCATCCGGTGTTACAACTCCTTTTGGCTCTATGCTATCTCATATGTAATATCAAACATATATCACTCGAACGCCTAGATTATGTCTTTGATCTGGGTACCCTGTTCGATCACAAGATTAATCGTCATGTCGGTACGATATCTAATAAAGCAAAATGCCTATTAGGTTTCATCAAATGGTCCAAGGAATTTTATAATGTTTCACAATGTGTATTAGCAGGATATGGTTGAATCCCTACTGAAACGGTACTACTGAAACGGTGTAATCACACCGATAAGGAATTAGATGATCAAACGGATGGGCATTAAACGGAAAACCGGGTAAAGTACAGAGGGCTTTGCCAAACAAATAATATATAAATGGAGCCCCAAAGAAGGCTACCGAATTAAATATTCTAAAGAATAACCGAAATTAGAATCCAGAATGTCCTTATCGTTAATACTATTATTAATAATCTTCAAAGCAGAATTGTCGCCGAATCCCCAGATGTAATTAAATTCAAAATGAAAAACGTATTCCAAAGAGGACAAGCTGCAACTCAGTTCACAAACGAGCAACAGAACTTGCGGTAAATGCTAGAAGCATCTTATATCGAAGAAGTAAGTTTTGACACTGCTGACAAATTTAGCACCATAGGACACATACATACATATTAATTTCGGTAATGAATTGTAAAGGGGAATAATTTTGGAGGCTGGTTCTTTCTGAATGACACAAGAGAGAATAAACAAGCTATAGTCGAGTTCATCGACTGTTACCCGTTACTCAGCTAGTGGGAGTCCGAACGAGAAATATCAAGTATTTGCCTATTGATAAAATTTGACAAGAACAAAAAAAGAAACAAAAAAAAATTTAAAAGAAAGTGATTTGCATACCGATAGAAATTGGCAAGACAAATATAAAAATTAAAAGATTTTTCAAAATTGTGATCGTGGCAGTTTTGGGAGGTTCGTGGGCGTTAGAGTTGTCGGGGCAAAATCAAACTTTCGGCTATGTCTCTGGAATCTGCATGTTTAATTTCAACTAAGCTTTTTTAGTTCATGAGATCGAGGCGTTCATACGGACAGACAGACAAACATGGCCAGATCAATTCGGCTATTGAACCTGACCATGAATACATACTTATTAGGGTCGGAAACGTTTCCTTCTTCCTGTATCATACCAAAGACATTAGAATAACAGGATGCGTAACGCCATATGATTTTTTTGCACCCGATTTTTGTGCTGGCTCCAAGCTCTCTCAAATTTTAGTTCAAGAGCCAGAGAGAGAGCGCTCTAGAGCCAGCAGCTCTCTTGTAAGCATACAGCGACAGTCGATCACTGTATTGTAAATTTGACAAAATATGCCCTTCATTTTACAAGTTTATGGACTTTCATATATATATTTTTTTGATCGATTGCCAAAATGAAAAAGCTCTAATTTTGCATTGCCTTAACATGACAATTATTTGAATACATCATACAAATAGTAGTTGATGAATAAATGTACATAATACCTAATTCATTTTATAAATGAGTCCTGCCTAAAGAATTAAATTTTTCGATAAAAAGGTTGCATATTTGTACTTATGATGTACCCATTGAATTAACTTCGAGTAGATATTTTGTTGGATATATTGCTAAGGGATCTCGTTGTGATAAATGCAGATCGTTGATTTTAAAAGAAAGCGCTCAAAGCTTCATCAGAGTTTTTCTATATGAGAATAACTTCTCGATAGAATCGCACTTTGGAAAACTAAAGACACCATCTGTTTTCAAACATTTTCTTGTTTCTTCAAAATTAAAAAATAATAAGGTAAAAATTTGTATTGTTGAGCAATGCATTAGGTGCAAAAATGAAAGAAGCGATTTCTCATTATGGTTTCACTCAAATAATGTATGTTATGTGCATAAAATGTATCTTTTAAACAAACTTATAAAAGTTTTACTTCTTAAGCATTGCAAGCAGATAGAAAAAAAACCAAACTAAGCATTCTATTTCGTAAATGAAAAAATAGTGACAATTCTTACATGCTAAAAAATATATAAATATATCACGACTAAAAATATACATAATATAATAATAAAAATTAGTAAAAATATATAACATAATTAATAAAAAAAGGATCAAAATAATACGAAATATATTTAGAAAACAATATTTAGAAAACAAGTAAACTAAGTCAGGGCATAAACTTTTCAAATTAAATTAAATTAAACAAAACAATAATAAAATTCGTTTCGTCCGTCCGTCTGTCCGTAAGAACGCCTCGATCTCAGGAACTACAAAAGCTAGAATGTTGAGATTAAGTATGCAGCTTCCAGAGGCATAGACGAAGTGCAAGTTTGTTTCCAAATGTTGCCACGCCTATTCCTACGCCTATGCCTAACTTCTACCGATATTCCAGAAAATCTTTAAATTTCTCGTTAGCACTTCCACTAGCTGAGTATCGGGAATGTGATAGTCGGGGAACTCGACTATATCATTCTATGTTGTTATTTATTACATATATAAACTTCCTTCTTTTCATAGGTGCCATTGGTTTGAGTTTTTGCGCGGCGCCCAATTATGTTCTAATTATATTTATTTGGAACATTTGTTTACACCATACCACGGAAAGTGGCCGCTTAGTAATATGATATGAGCGTGGGATCCGCCGCCAAAGAAATCTACTTAGAATGAGGAAAACTGAGAAACTTACTAAGCCAATTAAAAGTAGATTATGAAATGGATAAAGAAATAATTTACGAGCTAATTTATTTGCATACAACCTCCTTGATGGAATTTTCTATAAATTTTTGTATGGCAGAGCTCCGAATCGAAAGGCAAGAGATGTATTAGGGGTTTGCTGGATACATTAATTCGAATTAAGTATAACGAAAAATTCGCTAGTCGGTTTCTTCTATATTAAGCATACCTTTATATATGGAAAAAACAAAAAAAAATTAATTCATATAATCGAATACTTCTTAAAATTCCCGGGTGACAGTTTTGATCGGTATTGTCGGTGTAAGAGTGCTGTTATACTTGCTGTGATCACACCGACCTTGGAGGGGATGTTAATGATATATTCCTCAAATTTAGTTAAATTTTACCAAACTGTTAGCAGTTTAAAGGAAGGGTAAATAAGGGTACTTATGAAAAGGAGGAATGCGATTAAATTACCAAATTTGCTTTGTAAAATTTGTAAAATTTTTTTTAATTTAAAGATAGTACTTACAGCTCTTAGGGCATCGCATTCTTTTTCAAGTGTATTTACTCGAGTCTCCAATGAAACAACATACTCCTTTCTTTTTTTGCGTGATAAGGAAGCACTCTCCCGGTTCTTAATCATACGTTGATGTTTTTTGTAGATCTTTTCATTCATTGTATGTGCTTGCGTGCTTTCTTTAAATGATTGTATAAATGTTGCATTTTTTTTCTTAATTACAATATTAGAAATCTTAGACCCGACATTAAAACTTCTTTTAAAGGCCCTATCTTTGTTACATTTCACTGTTTGCATAAGCGGTTTGTAATCATGTGATGTTAATTTTATTGTCTTTGACAAAGGTAAATCAGTTTTTGATATCTGATGATCTGTGTACACATTACTTAATGGCCAGCTATTGGTTAAAGATGAATTAATCCTCTTGTTATATAAAGTAAACCCCAAATCCTGGGAGGTTTCCTGAAGTTCGTTCTTAATATCAGATAGGTTGGATATTATGCTTTTGACTTCTTCTTTGGGGCTCGTAACTTTAGTAGGTTCAAAAAACTGTTCAGTTTTATCCGAATCGACTATGAGTGGATGTGGTGCTCCTTCAGTTAATTCGTTAGAAGTATCATTTACATTTGAATTGCTTAAACTTATCTCGGGATACGCATTGGGCATATGAATTCTGCTGTTACTAAACTCCAATTGAAAATTAGTGTCATTTATATTTCTTTTAGTTTCAGCAGAAATAGCGGAACTCGAAGCCATTGTATTTGAGCTAAATTCTAAAGATATTGGGTTTGACGACAAATGCAAACCAAACGGTTCTCTTTGAAAGTCAGGTATTAATTCACTCAGATCTAGCGATGTATCATTACAGAATTCGGATGAGTTAAGAATGTCGTGTAAAACATAATTGTCGTAGTCATTTTGAGCCAATTCTCCCAACAGCGATAAATCGTCTGAAAAAATATTGTATTATTTACCTTAAAGAAGAAAATATTATCAATTCTTAAAAATACTTCAAAAACAGTTATCCTTTTCTATAAATATTTTATAAAAACACAAAAGTGCCGTTGTCATTTACCCATAAGCAAAAACAAATATAAAAAAATAAATTTTTCAGGGCGTTCTCTAGAACCTAAATGTCTTAAAAATCTATTTTATTGCTTTTATAGATCCCGAGATCACAATGTTCATCGACTCGGCTATTGATCCTGATGAAGTATATATTTTTTATACTTTGGAGGGTCGAATACTACCCTAGTATACCCATTTTCTACTCTATAAATATACTGATTCGTATTATGTCAGGCTTCTCATATTTTCAACCCATGGTACTCTTCCGAGTTTCCCTGTATGATAGCAGACTGCTATAATCAACTCACAGAAAGATTTTCATCAAAGCATTAGCCTAAACGTACATATATGCTGATGACTACTATTTGATTCTAAGCCTAAAAGAAAAAAAATCTTATATCTTTATTTATATAAAGCTTAACCCCATTATCACAACCATTGCAAAAAAGACAACACAAATTCAAGCAATCAAAATTTTACTGAAACACAGTCATCACAAAAGCGACCATTACCGCACAACTAAGAGTACAGGCTTCCAATCTACGGATATTGCCCACAAACAAAGCACAAAAAGTAAGAGCAACAATAAACACTGCCTTCAAAATGACACCAATTGTCAACATCCATAACGAACCACCACCAAGCGCCCACAATATGGACAACAATTGACCGCATAATACAAAACTAAACAGCCCTCCAACTACCATATAACACCCTGACCATGAAACGGTACCAAATTTCAAAACAAAAATTTCACTGTAATTAAAACAAAGGACAATAACAAATTTAACTATACATATATATATACATAGGTAGATCCTAAACAAACACAGTTACCAGTCTTGCAATCATAAACGAAACAGATTGGGTGAAACCAAGGAAACTAGAATAATAAGATGCGTAACGCCATACGATTTTTTTGCACACGATTTTTTCGTGCTGGCTCTATAGCTGGCTCCAGGCTCTCTCGAATTTTTGTTCAAGAGCCAGAGAGAGCACTCTAGAGGCAGAAGCTCTCTTGTACGAATACAGCGACAGCCGATCACTGTATGTGTGCACACGTATGCTCATATATTGTAAATTGGACAAAATATGCCCTTCACTTCAGAAGTTTATGGACTTTTAATCTATATTATTTGTACTCGATTGTCACCAAGTAAAGACTCTAATTTTGCATTGTCTTAACAATATATTTATGTAGATAAATTATAATATAATAGGTGAATAATAATACTACCTAATTAATTTCAAAGATTACTTTAACCAAAATATATGGCGTTAGAGTATTCAGCTCGCGACGTGGAAAATATATTTGAAGTTAGGGATTCTTAGGTGCGCTTGTTCTGCCTCAAGGATTCAATTTTGCAATAAACAGGTTGCATATAAAGTTTTGACAAATAGACAGAGCTCATCGTTTGTTATTATTTTTCCAAATTTTAATAATATATATGTATATCACGAGCAAGTGAATTCTTTTTTTTAGATTATTATTATCTCAATTTTATGTAAGCTGGGAGAGAGCAATTATTGCCGCCACTAAAAAAGTGGCTGCACAGTGCAAAACCAATGTATGGCGGTTACGCATCTTTTTATTCTAGTGTCTTTGGTGAAACTACACTACTCCTCGCAGAGCTACTAGCCATTTTAGAGGGATTGGTTACCAATATTCAAACCCAAATATTATCTAAATAAGATTACTCAGCTAGTGGGAGTGCAAACGAGACATTTCTTAATTTTCTGGAACATCGGTAGAAATTGCGAAAAAAAATTAAAAATTTGTTCAAGTGTGGGCGTGACAGTTTTGGTTGGTTTATGGACCGTAGAGGGGGCGTGCCAAAACGAGTTTTGAGAAATCGATAGAAATTTACAAGACTAATAAAAAAATTTAAAAATATCAAAACATTTTTCAAAAGTGTGTGGTTGGAGTTCTCGGAATCGTGAATGGGCGTTGCAACATCATTTAAACAAACTTGTGTTCCGTCTATGTCTCTGGAATCTGCATGCCTAATCTCAACTTTCTAGCTTTTAATGTAACTGAGATCTCGACGTTGTATTTTTGTAAGTCTGTAGAAATTTACAAGATATGTTCAAAAGTGAAAAAATATGAAAACATTTTTTAAAACTCTGGGCGTGATAGTTTTTTGCGGTTTGTGGGCGTACGAGTGGGCGTGGCAACATTTGGAAATAAACTTGCGCTGAGTCTATGTCTCTGGAAGCTGCATGCTTAATCTCAACATTCTAGCTTTTGTAGTTCATGAGATTGAGTCGCTTATACGGACAGACGGACGGACATGGCCAGACCGACTCGGCTATTGATCCGAGAATCCGAGACCATACAAGAATATGGTCTTTGTATGGTCGGAAACGCTTCCTTTTGCCCGTTTCATACTTTTCATCGAATCTAGTATACCCTCTTACTCTACTAGTAACAGGTATAATAACAAGACTAAGAATGGGTCACATCCACATAACAGACACACATTACATACATCTTACACAAATCAACATCTTTCCTTTCTGCAATGACAGTTAATAATCTATACGCCTGCAGTTCACTGATATTTGACAATTGACCAAAAATAAAATATATTTTAAAGTACAGGTTATTTTTCGTGAAATTTATAATGCATAATTATACGTGTCGTGGGTGCTGCTGGCTCTAGAACTCTCTCTCTTTGCATTTTGAACTAAAATATGCAGCGAGCACAAAAAATGGTGTGGAAGAAAGACGTACATATCTAGTTATTCTAATGTCTTTGCTGGAACGGAATTTTCGAAACAAAGTCCTCCACCATTTGGAGAACAAATACCAATAACTTAGATAAATTTAGGATTGAAGAATAGCGCGTTTGTATTTACTATCAGCAAGATACAATTGTTTGCAGTGTTTTTTATGTTATGTTCAAGTTGCTCTAGAAGCATGAAACAAATATATTAGAAGCAAACTGCTTCTTCTACATGTCACAAAGCTTTCAAGGAATATAATACACCCATTTACTCTACCAGTATAAAGATCGGGTTCTATTGCTTTTAGTTTTTAACAAATCATAGGTAAAATATCGCAATAATAAGTATGTAAGCACAGATTCTACGATTTCTTTGTTATCGATTGCACTGGGGTTTTAGTATGTTTTTTTTTTTTAAATCCGACTTTTATTATTGAACCGGCCTTAAGGGAACCGGCATAGTGTCATAGCACGCAAGTCCAGCTGTTTGCCTAAGAAAGATAGGGACCATTCAGACCAATCGAAGTGCACCTAAATTTAGATGCAAACGTTTATTATAAACAAACTGCTTTCCAAAATTGATAAATATGCAGCGAGCACAAAAAATGGTGCTTCTGGCTCTAGTGCGCTCTCTCTGGCTTTTGAAAAAAAATTCGAGAGCCTAGAGCCAGCACAAACAATTTGTATGGCATTACGCATCTTGTTATTCTAATGTCTTTGGTGAAACGCTAGCATTGCGTGGCTGCTGCACAACACACTTTGTCCAATATTGTATTCATACAAATGTATGACGAAGTTGATAATAAAAATAAGAGCTGTATGTTTCGATCGGGAAGACTATTAAAACTTGCTTTAGTTATTACTGACAAGAAGGAAACTTACTGTATAATTTATATTCATTGATGTCCATAACTAATGGGACATAGAAGTATGTAAAAGTTAAATGGATACAGTTAAAGTATACATATTCGTGATCAGGATCAAAATCCGTGCAGAACTGATTATGACCGTCCGTTTGAACGACATTTCCGGAACAACAAAAGCTAGTGGGGCTACGATGTGCAAAGTTATTTTAGAAAGCCACGCCCACAAAATTGTCACGCCACTACTTTTGAAAGAAGTAAATTTTTTTTTTTCGATTTTATTTTTTTTATTTTTTATTTTACTTGCCAGTTTCTATAGTTATGCCAAAAACATTTTAGCCGCGCCCACTCTAACGCCCACGCCCACATTATTTTATTAGGATTTATTTTATTATTTGTCTTACAAATTTGAAATGACTGCATATTCTTATATTCTTTGCAAATTTCTATAGCTACATTTTTAAATATCTTCCCAACACCCTTACCAGCTGAGTAACGGGTATTTATTGTTTAATATTTTACTTAAAGTTGTGTAGATAATGAAAGGGCTTTTTCGATAGGTAGCACAATGTAACGATGGTTTCGGTGGCTGCCACAAAATTTGATAAATATTTTTTAGTGTATAATAAATCCGCAGGGTAGTGTACTGAGTCCTGTTCTATACACACTCTACACTTCCGACCTACCATATCCCAGAGATCCGAGTACCCTTCTGGCAACGTATGCTGATGACACAGCCTTCATCGCAAACTTGACGTGTCGATTGGAGGCATCCAGGAAACCCAACAATTCTTGGACCTGTAGAGCGAGTGGACAAACAGGTGGAATATATCCATCAATGGAAACATGTCCCAGCATTGCAACTTTTCCCTGAGGCATAAAGTCCTCCCGAGGGTCAAATTGCAGGACAGTCTTATCCCCCAATCACCCCAAGCGATGTACCTAGGATTGATCCTGGACAAGCGGCTCACGTGGAGGCAGCATACCAATAAAATTGCACCAACTTTCCGCGGGAAGCTTAGGAAACTAAACTGGTTGTTAAAGCCAGCGACCCAGCTAAGCCTAAGGAACAAAGTGCTGCTCTACGGAGCCATAGTGGTCCCTTCGATGACCTATTGCGTCCAGATATGGGGTACGGCCTCCGATTCGAACAGCATGCGAGTGCAAAGGGTTCAAAACCGAGCGTTGCGCACGATCACAAATGCGCCCTGGTATGCAAAAATGTGGACATTGCAAACGACCTCAACATCCTCACTGTTAGACAACAGATCAATCGCCATTAAAGTCGCTACAACGATCGGCTTCAGGCCCACACGAACCACCTAGCGGCTTCATTGGCTAACCCGACATCAGGGAGACCTTTGGTCAACAAGGAGGCAACGAACGCGGGTGCTCCTCCAGTAGTCAAAAACAAAATATATATAAAACCCATTGTAATAAAAATTGTTAGTTTATCCTTCCTGATGTGTTAAACGGCAGGACCTCATTAGAGGCTGAAAATGCCTTAGATCTGTTTGTGATCATGTTTCGAAATTCGATTTTTACCGGTACGGCAATGTTATTCACCTTAGTGAAATTTACATTGTCGCAGCTATGATGCTGCAGCTTTCTCTGTGTGCAGCTTTGCTCCAACTTGAGCTAAAAATTCAAAACTAATAATGTCATCAAAAGGCGTTAAAGAGTCCAAAAGGAAAAATTCCGCTGTTTTTCTCAAAAAAGGTTTGTAACAAATGAAACTATTCCCCCAGATTAGAGAAAATAAGTTGGAGAGCTTAGTCGACTTTGCAATGAAGGTGCAAAATGTGTGCGCCACTATGAAGGCGTCTAAACTAGAACAATATCTAAACAACCCGACTCTTACTTAAAAGATGGTATCATAGCTACCCTGCATATTACAGACCTTTTGGGGACTTTTTACTTTGCTGTTCGTAAAGTATGCAATGTGTGCTCGAAGGGCTGCAGGTCTGTACAGGAGTATAAGGAGTTTACTGAGATCGCACTCTGTGATCGTTGGAAGACAGTCAGGAGACTTAGACTATGCTGGAGGTGCCTATCAAATCATATGGTGCAGACGTGCGAGGTGGCAGGCACGTGCGGCGTGGACGGGTGGCCGGAGAGGCATAACCCATTGCTACATCGGAGTCCGTGAACTTATGCAAGCAAGTTGTAAGTTTATAGGCGACGGATCTTCTCTAACGCTAATTGACGAGGCTCAAGGAGTGAAAGGACTTGTGAAACCACTACCGCTCTGCGTGCAGTGGACAGCTGGCATGCACCGCTACGAAGAATAATGTTACTCTTCGAATTTCGGGTAACGGTATGACTAAGTCGTATGACCTACACGACGTCCACTCGGTTAAAGCTCTTAGCCTTCCGGAACAAACCCTAAATGCGGAACACTTAAAGAGCAAGTTCAAGAACCTAATGCATTTAGTGATGTAAGGATATGACAGGGCCCTTAACAACTGTACCCTGGGAATTTAGAGGACCCGATCGCCGAAAAGACTCGACTAGGCTGGACCGTCAAAGGTGGCGGTGCGGACACAGATGCCCCAAGATATCATGTGTTCCAGATATGCACGTGTGAGGGTGAAAATAATAAGAAGATTCTGCGACTTCTCAGACAGTGTATAAGGTCTGAACAGGGCACTGGTTATGGAGTGTGACCCAATCCGACGACGACCTGCTGGCTATACGCCAATTGGAGGCGAATACGAAGCGAATAGAAGGGCGATTCGAGACAAGCTTGCTATAAGGATAGTGACCTACCCGACAGCTTGCCCACAGCCCTTAATCAGAAGCTTTTGCGTCAGCCGGATCTGGCCAATGAAATGCGACGACAACTCAATCGTTTGTTATTATTTTTCCAAATTTTAATAATATATATGTATATCACGAGCAAGTGAATTCTTTTTTTTAGATTATTATTATCTCAATTTTATGTAAGCTGGGAGAGAGCAATTATTGCCGCCACTAAAAAAGTGGCTGCACAGTGCAAAACCAATGTATGGCGGTTACGCATCTTTTTATTCTAGTGTCTTTGGTGAAACTACACTACTCCTCGCAGAGCTACTAGCCATTTTAGAGGGATTGGTTACCAATATTCAAACCCAAATATTATCTAAATAAGATTACTCAGCTAGTGGGAGTGCAAACGAGACATTTCTTAACTTTCTGGAACATCGGTAGAAATTGCGAAAAAAAATTAAAAATTTGTTCAAGTGTGGGCGTGACAGTTTTGGTTGGTTTATGGACCGTAGAGGGGGCGTGCCAAAACGAGTTTTGAGAAATCGATAGAAATTTACAAGACTAATAAAAAAATTTAAAAATATCAAAACATTTTTCAAAAGTGTGTGGTTGCAGTTCTCGGAATCGTGAATGGGCGTTGCAACATCATTTAAACAAACTTGTGTTCCGTCTATGTCTCTGGAATCTGCATGCCTAATCTCAACTTTCTAGCTTTTAATGTAACTGAGATCTCGACGTTGTATTTTTGTAAGTCTGTAGAAATTTACAAGATATGTTCAAAAGTGAAAAAATATGAAAACATTTTTTAAAACTCTGGGCGTGATAGTTTTTTGCGGTTTGTGGGCGTACGAGTGGGCGTGGCAACATTTGGAAATAAACTTGCGCTGAGTCTTGTAGTTCATGAGATTGAGTCGCTTATACGGACAGACGGACGGACATGGCCAGACCGACTCGGCTATTGATCCGAGAATCCGAGACCATACAAGAATATGGTCTTTGTATGGTCGGAAACGCTTCCTTTTGCCCGTTTCATACTTTTCATCGAATCTAGTATACCCTCTTACTCTACTAGTAACAGGTATAATAACAAGACTAAGAATGGGTCACATCCACATAACAGACACACATTACATACATCTTACACAAATCAACATCTTTCCTTTCTGCAATGACAGTTAATAATCTATACGCCTGCAGTTCACTGATATTTGACAATTGACCAAAAATAAAATATATTTTAAAGTACAGGTTATTTTTCGTGAAATTTATAATGCATAATTATACGTGTCGTGGGTGCTGCTGGCTCTAGAACTCTCTCTCTTTGCATTTTGAACTAAAATATGCAGCGAGCACAAAAAATGGTGTGGAAGAAAGACGTACATATCTAGTTATTCTAATGTCTTTGCTGGAACGGAATTTTCGAAACAAAGTCCTCCACCATTTGGAGAACAAATACCAATAACTTAGATAAATTTAGGATTGAAGAATAGCGCGTTTGTATTTACTATCAGCAAGATACAATTGTTTGCAGTGTTTTTTATGTTATGTTCAAGTTGCTCTAGAAGCATGAAACAAATATATTAGAAGCAAACTGCTTCTTCTACATGTCACAAAGCTTTCAAGGAATATAATACACCCATTTACTCTACCAGTATAAAGATCGGGTTCTATTGCTTTTAGTTTTTAACAAATCATAGGTAAAATATCGCAATAATAAGTATGTAAGCACAGATTCTACGATTTCTTTGTTATCGATTGCACTGGGGTTTTAGTATGTTTTTTTTTTTTAAATCCGACTTTTATTATTGAACCGGCCTTAAGGGAACCGGCATAGTGTCATAGCACGCAAGTCCAGCTGTTTGCCTTAGAAAGATATGGACCATTCAGACCAATCGAAGTGCACCTAAATTTAGATGCAAACGTTTATTATAAACAAACTGCTTTCCAAAATTGATAAATTGTATAATTGCTTCTGGCTCTAGTGCGCTCTCTCTGGCTTTTGAAAAAAAATTCGAGAGCCTAGAGCCAGCACAAACAATTTGTATGGCATTACGCATCTTGTTATTCTAATGTCTTTGGTGAAACGCTAGCATTGCGTGGCTGCTGCACAACACACTTTGTCCAATATTGTATTCATACAAATGTATGACGAAGTTGATAATAAAAATAAGAGCTGTATGTTTCGATCGGGAAGACTATTAAAACTTGCTTTAGTTATTACTGACAAGAAGGAAACTTACTGTATAATTTATATTCATTGATGTCCATAACTAATGGGACATAGAATGCGAAATGAATATGTTTATTAAACCAGAATTGATTATCACAGCAAACGTCAGCAAGTGCACAAAATGTTGGTTCATTAAAACAACATCATCATTAATGTATAGTGTAATAGCCATTTCACATTTAAAGCTTATATAGTAAGTGTACTATTCACATCCGGCAGAGCGGTTGAGGTTCCCTAAGATATATCGGTATCGAAGAATACGCAGCATGAGACGTTGCTTTAATTGAAATTATTTTGCTTCGTGAGCTTATTTTGCTCAATAGCGAACAGGAATTCGGAGGAAAAAATTAATCAGCAAATAAACGTTTTTTAGAAAGGTATGTAATAGTTAAATGGACACAGTTAAAGTATACATATTCGTGATCAGGATCAAAATCCGTGCAGAACTGATTATGACCGTCCGTTTGAACGACATTTCCGGAACAACAAAAGCTAGTGGGGCTACGATGTGCAAAGTTATTTTAGAAAGCCACGCCCACAAAATTGTCACGCCACTACTTTTGAAAGAAGTAAATTTTTTTTTTCGATTTTATTTTTTTTATTTTTTATTTTACTTGCCAGTTTCTATAGTTATGCCAAAAACATTTTAGCCGCGCCCACTCTAACGCCCACGCCCACATTATTTTATTAGGATTTATTTTATTATTTGTCTTACAAATTTGAAATGACTGCATATTCTTATATTCTTTGCAAATTTCTATAGCTACATTTTTAAATATCTTCCCAACACCCTTACCAGCTGAGTAACGGGTATTTATTGTTTAATATTTTACTTAAAGTTGTGTAGATAATGAAAGGGAAAGTAACGATGGTTTCGGTGGCTGCCACAAAATTTGATAAATATTTGTTAGTGTATAATAAATCCGCAGGGTAGTGTACTGAGTCCTGTTCTATACACACTCTACACTTCCGACCTACCATATCCCAGAGATCCGAGTACCCTTCTGGCAACGTATGCTGATGACACAGCCTTCATCGCAAACTTGCCGTGTCGATTGGAGGCATCCAGGAAACCCAACAATTCTTGGACCTGTATAGCGAGTGGACAAACAGGTGGAATATATCCATCAATGGAAACATGTCCCAGCACTGCAATTTTTCCCTGAGGCATAAAGTCCTCCCGAGGGTCAAATTGCAGGACAGTCTTATCCCCCAATCACCCCAAGCGATGTACCTAGGATTGATCCTGGACAAGCGGCTCACGTGGAGGCAGCATACCAATAAAATTGCACCAACTTTCCGCGGGAAGCTTAGGAAGCTTAATAATGTCATCAAAAGGCGTTAAAGAGTCCAAAAGGAAAAATTCCGCTGTTTTTCTCAAAAAAGGTTTGTAACAAATGAAACTATTCCCCCAGATTAGAGAAAATAAGTTGGAGAGCTTAGTCGACTTTGCAATGAAGGTGCAAAATGTGTGCGCCACTATGGAGGCGTCTAAACTAGAACAATATCTAAACAACCCGACTCTTACTTAAAAGATGGTATCATAGCTACCCTGCATATTACAGACCTTTTGGGGACTTTTTACTTTGCTGTTCGTAAAGTATGCAATGTGTGCTCGAAGGGCTGCAGGTCTGTACAGGAGTATAAGGAGTTTACTGAGATCGCACTCTGTGATCATTGGAAGACAGTCAGGAGACTTAGACTATGCTGGAGGTGCCTATCAAATCATATGGTGCAGACGTGCGAGGTGGCAGGCACGTGCGGTGTGGACGGGTGGCCGGAGAGGCATAACCCATTGCTACATCGGAGTCCGTGAACTTATGCAAGCAAGTTGTAAGTTTATAGGCGACGGATCTTCTCTAACGCTAATTGACGAGGCTCAAGGAGTGAAAGGAGTTGTGAAACCACTACCGCTCTGCGTGCAGTGGACAGCTGGCATGCACCGTTACGAACAATAATGTTACTCTTCGAATTTCAGGTAACGGTATGACTAAGTCGTATGACCTACACGACGTCCACTCGGTTAAAGCTCTTAGCCTTCCGGAACAAACCCTAAATGCGGAACACTTAAAGAGCAAGTTCAAGGACCTAATGCATTTAGTGATGTAAGGATATGACAGGGCCCTTAACAACTGTACCCTGGGACGCGCCCTCCGCACAAGGGAAGGCAATTTAGAGGACCCGATCGCCGAAAAGACTCGACTAGGCTGGACCGTCAAAGGTGGCGGTGCGGACACAGATGCCCCAAGATATCATGTGTTCCAGATATGCACGTGTGAGGGTGAAATTAATAAGAAGATTCTGCGACTTCTCAGACAGTGTATATGGTCTGAACAGGGCACTGGTTATGGAGTGTGACCCAATCCGACGACGACCTGCTGGCTATACGCCAATTGGAGGCGAATACGAAGCGAATAGAAGGGCGATTCGAGACAAGCTTGCTATAAGGATAGTGACCTACCCGACAGCTTGCCCACAGCCCTTAATCAGAAGCTTTTGCGTCAGCCGGATCTGGCCAATGAAATGCGACGACAACTCAATCGTTTGTTATTATTTTTCCAAATTTTAATAATATATATGTATATCACGAGCAAGTGAATTCTTTTTTTTAGATTATTATTATCTCAATTTTATGTAAGCTGGGAGAGAGCAATTATTGCCGCCACTAAAAAAGTGGCTGCACAGTGCAAAACCAATGTATGGCGGTTACGCATCTTTTTATTCTAGTGTCTTTGGTGAAACTACACTACTCCTCGCAGAGCTACTAGCCATTTTAGAGGGATTGGTTACCAATATTCAAACCCAAATATTATCTAAATAAGATTACTCAGCTAGTGGGAGTGCAAACGAGACATTTCTTAACTTTCTGGAACATCGGTAGAAATTGCGAAAAAAAATTAAAAATTTGTTCAAGTGTGGGCGTGACAGTTTTGGTTGGTTTATGGACCGTAGAGGGGGCGTGCCAAAACGAGTTTTGAGAAATCGATAGAAATTTACAAGACTAATAAAAAAATTTAAAAATATCAAAACATTTTTCAAAAGTGTGTGGTTGCAGTTCTCGGAATCGTGAATGGGCGTTGCAACATCATTTAAACAAACTTGTGTTCCGTCTATGTCTCTGGAATCTGCATGCCTAATCTCAACTTTCTAGCTTTTAATGTAACTGAGATCTCGACGTTGTATTTTTGTAAGTCTGTAGAAATTTACAAGATATGTTCAAAAGTGAAAAAATATGAAAACATTTTTTAAAACTCTGGGCGTGATAGTTTTTTGCGGTTTGTGGGCGTACGAGTGGGCGTGGCAACATTTGGAAATAAACTTGCGCTGAGTCTTGTAGTTCATGAGATTGAGTCGCTTATACGGATAGACGGACGGACATGGCCAGACCGACTCGGCTATTGATCCGAGAATCCGAGACCATACAAGAATATGGTCTTTGTATGGTCGGAAACGCTTCCTTTTGCCCGTTTCATACTTTTCATCGAATCTAGTATACCCTCTTACTCTACTAGTAACAGGTATAATAACAAGACTAAGAATGGGTCACATCCACATAACAGACACATATTACATACATCTTACACAAATCAACATCTTTCCTTTCTGCAATGACAGTTAATAATCTATACGCCTGCAGTTCACTGATATTTGACAATTGACCAAAAATAAAATATATTTTAAAGTACAGGTTATTTTTCGTGAAATTTATAATGCATAATTATACGTGTCGTGGGTGCTGCTGGCTCTAGAACTCTCTCTCTTTGCATTTTGAACTAAAATATGCAGCGAGCACAAAAAATGGTGTGGAAGAAAGACGTACATATCTAGTTATTCTAATGTCTTTGCTGGAACGGAATTTTCGAAACAAAGTCCTCCACCATTTGGAGAACAAATACCAATAACTTAGATAAATTTAGGATTGAAGAATAGCGCGTTTGTATTTACTATCAGCAAGATACAATTGTTTGCAGTGTTTTTTATGTTATGTTCAAGTTGCTCTAGAAGCATGAAACAAATATATTAGAAGCAAACTGCTTCTTCTACATGTCACAAAGCTTTCAAGGAATATAATACACCCATTTACTCTACCAGTATAAAGATCGGGTTCTATTGCTTTTAGTTTTTAACAAATCATAGGTAAAATATCGCAATAATAAGTATGTAAGCACAGATTCTACGATTTCTTTGTTATCGATTGCACTGGGGTTTTAGTATGTTTTTTTTTTTTTAAATCCGACTTTTATTATTGAACCGGCCTTAAGGGAACCGGCATAGTGTCATAGCACGCAAGTCCAGCTGTTTGCCTAAGAAAGATAGGGACCATTCAGACCAATCGAAGTGCACCTAAATTTAGATGCAAACGTTTATTATAAACAAACTGCTTTCCAAAATTGATAAATTGTATAATTGCTTCTGGCTCTAGTGCGCTCTCTCTGGCTTTTGAAAAAAAATTCGAGAGCCTAGAGCCAGCACAAACAATTTGTATGGCATTACGCATCTTGTTATTCTAATGTCTTTGGTGAAACGCTAGCATTGCGTGGCTGCTGCACAACACATATTCATACAAATGTATGACGAAGTTGATAATAAAAATAAGAGCTGTATGTTTCGATCGGGAAGACTATTAAAACTTGCTTTAGTTATTACTGACAAGAAGGAAACTTACTGTATAATTTATATTCATTGATGTCCATAACTAATGGGACATAGAATGCGAAATGAATATGTTTATTAAACCAGAATTGATTATCACAGCAAACGTCAGCAAGTGCACAAAATGTTGGTTCATTAAAACAACATCATCATTAATGTATAGTGTAATAGCCATTTCACATTTAAAGCTTATATAGTAAGTGTACTATTCACATCCGGCAGAGCGGTTGAGGTTCCCTAAGATATATCGGTATCGAAGAATACGCAGCATGAGACGTTGCTTTAATTGAAATTATTTTGCTTCGTGAGCTTATTTTGCTCAATAGCGAACAGGAATTCGGAGGAAAAAATTAATCAGCAAATAAACGTTTTTTAGAAAGGTATGTAATAGTTAAATGGACACAGTTAAAGTATACATATTCGTGATCAGGATCAAAATCCGTGCAGAACTGATTATGACCGTCCGTTTGAACGACATTTCCGGAACAACAAAAGCTAGTGGGGCTACGATGTGCAAAGTTATTTTAGAAAGCCACGCCCACAAAATTGTCACGCCACTACTTT